TTTGTAAAGGTCACCCTATAGAGAGCTCACCCTATACAACGGTCAAGCATTTACATAGGTCACCCTATAGAGAGCTCACCCTATACAACGGTCAAGCATTTACATAGGTCACCCTATACAAAGGTCAAACTATGGGAAGGTGATGCGATGGTAAGGCTGCACTTTGGAAGGTCACATTGTAGAAATGTAATGGGTCACTCTTGGAGCAGTTTCTAGATCCCCTCACTCTCATCATGGTGTAGTCAGAATATACAAGGATAAATAAATGGGGTTTGATGAGGTGTCACATTAACGATTACCGCAGGAGATAATAGCTTGTGGCGTGAGGTCACATGTTTGTGTTTTAAAGGGCTGGCAAAGTAACAGGAAACAGAGAGTCAGGAAAAATTAATCACTTTCAGGCTAACACGCAGTAACCAGTGAAATGGCACAGGGATCAGTGCTGGATCTTAACTATTTACAATCTTTATCAAGGGGGTGAATGAAGGGGGTGTCTAAATCTGGAGGTGCCACCAGGATTGCTGGGTGGGTGGGGAGTACATTGGGAAGAGGGAGTATAGAGTGTTAAAAGAATATAGGCAGGTTAAACAAATGGGTAAAAATTTGGTAAATGGAGTATGAGATGGATAAATGTGAACTTACCCACTTTGACAGGAACATTAGAAAAGCAGAATACAACTGAAGAGAGGAATATGGGGACCTGGTGTATAACTTACAGAAAGTTAGTGAGTAGGTGCAGCAAGTGACCCTTGAGCAAATGGAATGTTTGCTTTTATTAAAAGGGGAATGGAACATTGGAAAAGGAAGTTTCGTTGCAGCTCTACTGGGTCCAGGTGAGGTGTGTCCAGGAAGAAAATAAGTTACATTTGCGAAGAACAGAAGCTGCTTGACTGAAGATGCCAAATATGCACCACTTTCAGAGAATGTGGTAGGAGCCAGTCTGTGACTGTAATAAATTTGAACCGTGTCTGAGAGATAACTTGCCTGGACGATCTCTCTTTTCCCTGAAACCACCCCCAACGCACCATTGTAAGGTCATCTCACTGCAAGTAGACAGTCCTCAAGGGGACTTCAAAACCTATCACTCTGTCTCCAGAAAATGAAATTGAGCCAGCCATAACTGATTCTGGAAGAAGTTCCCAGTGTAAACTGTTTGTCTCCAAAGTGACTCCAGCTACAGACTAACATTTGGAGAACCTGTAAATATTCTTTTTCTCTTGAAGTTTACTGTTACTTGGCCAAGGCTTTTTTTTTAACGTAACACCCTGCAGAGGTTTATATTTTTTCCCAGGCTTGGAGGTTGTCTGTTTGTGTATGTTTTTCAAGAAGGGTGTGTGGATAAATTTGTATAGGTTAAATCTTTTGTTAATGATGTTTACAGCTTTGCTTGAGTACATTTTGTTTGCAATAAACTAGTTCATTCTTAATAGTCCCTTGGCAGCATGGAGTTTGCGTGTTGCTGAATAAAAATACATTTCACAAGCTTTTCATCTTACACACATCAGGATAGTTTGCAAGAATGCCAATGTGAATAGAAAGTAATATTCTCCTACTGTGTGAGTGCTAACTGGTTGTCAAGGTATGGTAAAGGTGTTGCCATGGTAAATATACCAGTTGGGTGATGACTGACAGTTTACAGTTTACAGTTTAAATTTTGAATGAGGCAGTTGACTCTATTTGGTCAAGGCTTTGCACTGACAAATGAACCAGTGAACGCTGCTATCTTTTTCATTGGCTGAAACAGATGTAGTGTGTTTAAAATGAACTTTCCATCTGTAAAGGTCGGGGTCCTGTTTACTAATGTATGTAACTTCCATCATGTCCAAGAGTATCATACCATGAGCCTGAAAGACAATCATAAATTGGTTTTCAGCATAATGTTTCATACACTTGGGATTATTTAGCAAATATTGTCCAATCAAAGGATCCCATCTAGTTTTGGACACTGTGTTGTGAGTTTTGCAAGTGTAGGCCAGTTGGATACAGTCATACCTTGCTTAATGCGAGTAGTCAAAGGGGCATGCTGTTTGATGTGATCTGTCAGTCTATGTCCAGCCTACATACCTGGCATCAAATAGGCACTGAAACTCATATACCGCTGTTGGTGTGAAACACCACTTTTGTGTTGCTGCTACATACTGGCAGCGTGAGAAAGGTGAAGCAGTGTACTGTCTAGCTTCACCTGTTGCTGAAATCCCTGAAATACCTTCCCTTTCCAGGGCAATCTGTCTTGGAGGGGAACTTGGAGGGGCTGATGTTCCCATGTATCTGCTGCCCTTGTCCTTCTAGACAGAAATGGTCGTGGGTTTGGAAGATGCTGTTTGAGGATCTTTGGTGAATTTCTGCAGGGCATCTTGTAGATGGTACACACTGCTGTTACTGAGCGTCGGTGGGGGAGGGAGTGGATGCTTGTGGGTGTGGTGCCAACCGGTGGACTGGATCTTGAGCTGTGTAAATCTGATTTGATTGGCAATATTGCCTCTATTTTTCAATTCAAACTTTGTTGTGATCCATGGAAGAGTGTGATAGGGAAAGGAATCTGTTCCTTTCTCCTAAATCGGTCATAACTATGTTCCCAAAGGTCAGAGATCACAGCCTGTACTGGAGAAAGTTTGAAGAAATTCAGGATTGGTCCCATATAGTTCACCATTTTCCAGTTTTACTTCCTTCCCACAATACTGGATCCAGCCTTTTATTCTTGACCCCTGATCCTTTCAGATAGATGTCGATAAGAAATTCTCACCTTCCAAAGGCTGTAGATGAGATCTTCCTGTTAGGGCTGGAAGAGAAGCAACATGAGATGGTTAAGTGTCTGACTGTGAACCACACACACCAAGCCCCAAAACCTGCTCATTCCCACCCCCAACCTCACCCCCACCCCGGCCTTGTCTTCATCAAACAATCGCTCAACCTCCGGTCAGTTTATGGTCAGAGACCAGTCAGAACCTGGAGACTGGTCAATGTCCAGTCTGAGATGATCCAATGCCCAGTCAATGTCCAGAGACCAGAAATCACAAAGGTCTGTGAGTTACTCAAGGGTAAGTCCCGGAACAATCCGGATGGAGTTGTGAATGTACCTCTGGGGTAGGCTAGAGCTCGATATTGAAATGTATGGGATGAGGGGGAACAGGCCGAAGGGTCGGAATGGCCTAAATCCTGTTTCTATTTCTTTTGGTCTTTTGGGCCAGTTAGTCTCAATCACCAGTTTTACTGGTTTTTCCTTTTGGATGCAGACCTTAATCTCAGGGACCCACAAAAACGTTTGTTCTTTATGATGGATTACATCGAAATTCCAGGGTCACCACCAGGTTACCATAGGCTACAGCGGGGTTACCACGGGGTTAGAATGAGGTGAATGTGAGGGGTCAAAACGGGGTCATTGTGGGGTTACTGTGGGGTCAATGTGGGGTTACTGCAGGTTCATTGTGGGGTTACTGCAGGGTCAATGTGGGGTTACTGCAGTGTCATTGTGGGGTTACTGTGGGGTCAATGTGGGGTTACTGCAGGGTCATTGTGGGGTTACTACAGGGTCAATGTGGGGTTACTGCAGGTTCACTGCAGGGTCATTGTGGGGTTACTACAGGGTCACCGCAGGGTCACTGAGGGGGGATGGCGGGGTCACCACAGGGTCACTGAGGGGTCATGGTGGGGTCACCACAGGGTCACTGAGGGGTTATGGTGGGGTCACC